TAAATGGACTGAGGAATAATTGAGTAGCATGTGTCGGGGCAGATATAATCAAGCCACCGAATAGAAGACTTGTCGAAGACTTGTAGAAAGGTTACCAGATGCCTGTCGAGGGCTGTGCAACTCATACGAAGGTTACCGGATGAGGTGTATGTAAAAAATATATATAATATATATATACATATATATACTATTATTAAAAGTAATTTTAATTCAACGCTAAAATAAATAATAAAATAAGTTATCAATTAAAATTACAAATTATATTCAGAATTTTTGAAGAGTAAAATAACTAGAATAACTTACCAATTAAAATAAAATATGTAATTATTTAACTATACTTATATATCTATGTATACCATCTATGCTATTTTTAAAAGTAGAAGAAGTGTCAAGGTATTTCAAATCATATTTATAAATAAAAATAAAATAATAAGATAAGTTATCAATTAAAATAATAGTCCTATTATACCAAAATTCTTCAGGTTTACTCTAAACATGATTCCTCATTCCTCCTATATATATTGAGTAAACCTGTGCACACAAGACTTGTGTGGTTGCAAAGTTGGGGGCCGAATTAGTACTATATAATTAAAAATTAATTTTTTTAAAAAATAAACTGTACTATTGTTCATTTATAATATTATTAGTATATATATTGAGAAAAATACAATCCAAAAAATGTGAAAATGAACCTAAATAAATATTTAAGAAAGAAAATATGACCAGAAAAAAAAAATTAGAGAAGAAGTAATAAGTTTTTTTAGTTAAAAGAAGAAGCCATAAGTTAAAGCTAAAAAAAAAATATGTAAAAAAAAAAAAAAAAAAAATTCGGTGTTCAAGAATTAAAATTTATTCAATAATTGTTTCAATTTTATAAAAACAAAAAATTGATTACTTTTTTTCCACTTTGAGAAAGGGTATGTATTTTTACATTCATCAATATTAAGAGAAAAAACATAACGTATTAACTAAACAAAGTTTAACAAAACACACTCAGTAGGAACAAAATAGCTAGCGAAGTACTTTAATAATTTATACAATGATATGTTATTTGTCATCTAACAAGTGACAAATAAAATATTATCATATATGGATTATATTATTGTTATCAAAATTCTTATCATCTTGGTATCATAATATTTTAGTTTTTAGTGTTTTCCATGAAAATGACTAATAAATAACTTTCATGTATTTTTATTAAGCACGAGGAAAAATTAGTATGAACGAGTTGTTGAACATGAAAAATACCAAGGATGGTTTTGCGCCACTTGTTGATCACTTCAAGTTAAATACGAAGTCATGTCCTACCAGCAAGGAAGAAAAAGATGTAATGACAAAGATTGTCTCCTCCGTGTATGTGGTGAGGTATTTGATGTACTCGTTGTTGTGCTCACACCCAGGTATTGCTCGTGTGGTTGGTTTTGTGAGTAGATTCCTTTCAAATCCTAGCATACAACATTGAGAAGCAGTACGGTGAATTTTCAGTTACTTGAGAGGTAGCTCCAAGTTATACTTATGTTATGGGGGATCAAAATTAGTTTAGAGGGTTAAACAGATGCAGACATCAGAGTTTTTTATTCACTTTTGTCGGGGAGTTGTATCAGAGCAGTCTAAGTTGTACAAGTAAAAAAAAAGTGGTGTCATAGCAGATGTCCCAATAGTTTGGAGAGTTGGTTTTTGAATTGCAGGTTTCGACTTTCTACGTCTACTAATCTAATTTTTAATATTTTTTATTTAAAAAAAAAAAAAATAAATATGATTACTTCTACAAAACTGAATCAAAGAGATTTACGTGTTTCAATTATGGTGATTTGCTAAAAAATTAAATGTGATTGTAGATGCGTAGACTCGCATTGAATAAGGTATTTGTGGTCGCATATCCCACTCTCAGGTCCCACAGACACGAAATCCTATCTCCCCACCCCTTTTCGAAACAAGAAGACTCCAAACTCCTCATATGGATGCAAATATAGCTCTCCGATCTCCACATCCCATATAACATCTTATGCTCAAAAAACTTATGTGGTCCAAGACGCAAAAATCCAAATTTCTGACTAGGCCGGGACCACAGGACGGTCTATTTTTGTGACGCTGAGATATCCCGACCCTCGTTGCAAAAATCCAAATTTCTCTATGGACAAAAGCAGTAACACGGGAAAAGCATTATAGTCCCCTTATAAACATTATAGTAAAAAATATAAAATAAAAAACAATGAGGACAACATTAACTTTTTAAATATGACATTTATTTTAAGACTAAAAAAAAAAAAAAAAATAGACACTTATTTTGAGATAGAATAAATAATACGAGTATGATCGAATAAGTTCAATATTTTTTGTGAACAAAATATTATAGAGATTATTAGAAAATTACGAGTGAAAGGTGGATCTGCTAAATTTTGTGAGTGTCTCATTCTTTGTTTTTTTGTACGGTGTCTAATTCGTTGTTTTCTGTTTTTTTTTTATTTTTTTATTTTTACCTCTTCCATTCCTTTCCCCTTATCCTTTTGGTTTAGGGTCCTTGTTGATTTTGAATGATCTTATCCTTTCGTTTTTTGTTTTGCCAGTATCTCATTTTTCTTCTTCTTTTTTTCGTTGTTTTTTTTTTAACCTTTTCCATTCCTTTCCCCCTTATCCTTTTGGTTTGTGGTCCTTGTTGATTTTGAATGATCTTTTATCCTTTCGTTTTGGTAATTCATATGCTTTTTTGGATTTTATTTATTTATTTATTGGGAAGTTAAAGAGTATATATTGATATGTGTAATAATTACAAAATTACAAAACAAGCTCGCCACTTGATCCATTGGCAGGCCCACTTTCAAGGGGAAAGCCACATGGAACGAAGTTTGCTAATGTCTTAAGGTGTTGCTTGTAAATTACACGCGTATTTGGATTTTCTTGGTGTCTTCTTGTCAGTTTTTTTTGGTGCTCAGTTCTGTTCTATTTTTCCCTTGTTTCTTGCCGTTGAGAAATTTTTACTTAATCTAGAATTATATGGTCTTAACCAATTACAACATGACACATAAGTAATTTTTACTGACTTGTCAGGTTGTGATTAACTGAGACCATGTAGTCTCCATACTATGTACTAATAATAATTTCTCAATTCGATTTTTTTTTTACTTGGTTAGACTTGTAGCCTTGCTTGTTTGGACCCTTGGGGTTCCGACACACATTTTCTGTGAAGAAAAAAAAACACACACACACTGTGCATGTACTTTGAAATTTATGTAATCTTTGTTACAACTCTCAGCTTCTAATTTCTTTGGGAAAATGATGTTTGATTAACAAAATCATGCACTTATTTTTTTCTGTGAAAATAATATACGTGGTTAGTAGGACATAAACTTTGCTCTTTGGGTTAGCTTAATATGTATTAATTAAATAATTCAGGCACTCACTTTGTCATGGATTTAATTGTATTCTCAATCTTTTATTTTGAGAGATAAAAAGGATACCATTGATTTTCCGTAGATTTTTTTTTTTTAAAAAAATTTTACTACCAAAAGCAGTTGGTCCATTGTAGTAACATATTGTCTCTGTATATATCAATTTACTTAGATAACTGGCTTTACAGCCTTTATTCTTTTAATAATCCTATTTTTAAAATTTGAGATATATATTTTTTTGTTTTTGTTTTTTTTTTTACTTACAAAGCCATTCTTGGGTTTTTTTCTCAGATCTGTAGATCCATTTTTATTGAGGTGGTCCTCTTACACCTCTTCATTAATTAGGGTTGTTGTTACTCGTTATGAATCTTTGAATTCATTTTTTAATGAGATTGTCTTCTTACATCTCTTCATCAATTGAGGCTGCTGCTACTTGTCTTGAGATCATTTGATCCATTTTTATTGAAGTCATCTTGTTACACCTCTTCTTTATTCTTGCCTTGTGTTATTCATACTTTGTTTCTTTATTCATTTTTATCCCTATGATATATACATTCACACAATGCATACACACACACACACATAAATATATCAGTACCACCTCCGCCACACCATTTCTCTCTATTGCATCTCTACACCTACTATCACAGTTTCAAGAATTCTGACTCTTACACAGAACTCATCAACGATGGGGGCCGTGGTGATGGACGGCAATGACGAAAAACTTTTAAGATCTAACATGACAAATCCTAGCCGCCCATAATCACCACTGCTTTACAAACACCGAAACTCAATATGGAGAACCAACCATAACCAACTAAAGGGCACTAAAAAGAAAATAAAAAATTGGGGAGCGGTGTGAGAGGGGCAAGCAGCTAGGAGAGAGTGGGGTGGCAGTGGTGGGGAAGGTGGTATTTACATAGACCAACAAAAAGCATTGAAAAGAAAATGAAGAAATTGAGAGAAGGTAAAACTATAAAATGGTTTGTTGGGTAAACTAACTCAATCTGACAATGGGTTTTAAAGTAATTTATGCAAAATTTTAATATAATGGTAATTAAGCTAAACTTTAAGGGAGGTGAAAGTAATTTACCCTAATATTTAACTTATACTATGATTTATATATATATTTTTTTGTTTATGACATGAAAATCATCCAACCACTTCTTTTTGGACCAATAACGTAAATTAAATTCCAAATATGTGTAATAATTGCAAAACACACATATAAATTAAGTTCGAAAGTTTCCTATTACTAGAGTTAAACCCAAGACCCGGGTTTTATGGTTTGATTTATTTATTTATTTTTTGCCATGTATAATATGTAAAAGTTTATGTTTTCCTTCTGATCAGTTATGAAAAGAAACAAAATTGAAACAAAAAAAAGAGTAATTCTATTGATGTCTTATTGCAAGATACATATATTTTTTCCCCCAACCCATGAAGAAATTTTATGGATTCAAATGCAGAGATTACACAATTCAACTAAGGAGACCAAATCTCCCACTTCTAACCTTTGGATATATAATAATAACAAAAGATTAATCTAATGTCACAAGATAATTTATAGAAACGACTAAACGATTTCCACCACATAGACACAAGAAGAAATTCTATGATATAAAATGCACCAATTAAGTTTTATTATAAGGAAAATCAGAGGCAACATACCACATTGGTTCCTTCTCTGATATCTTAGTACGAGAGAAATATTTTCACAAGATACAATAGCACAAACGAAAACACAAAACAACTTTGTGTTGCCTTCACTACTTTCGCCTCTCTAGCTTTAGCAGGACAACACAGAGCATCCATTATTCTCACATCCACTGCAGTCACATGTTTATTGATCCAAATACTACTATATATGATAGAAGTGGCTCATCATTGGCTAAGTTCCAATGAATCAAACCACTCTCTACCACTATACTATTCAAATTGGCTCAAACAACTGAAAATGTGCCCCGATGGAATCAAGCCAGTCACCGGACCTTCCATGAAATCCAACAATCTTTCCAGCGATTTGAGGAGACTCGAAAGTGTTTCCTTGTTCTACACCAAATGGTCCATATGTTTTTTTGTTGCTTTGAATCGTAAGGGAGCTAACGACAACAACATTTTTATATGCATCGCGGTAGTGCCCACGAATTGAAACCAAATATTCATCAGGGTAGTCTAGTTTGACCTGCAAAAGTTAGATAATTGTATTGGTATCACCACATTACAAGCTGTCTAAACGATAATGTACATAACAGTTAACTTAGAGGATCCTGTTAATATACTAACCGTGTGTTTGGTACCGCCTTCACTTTTACCATGCTTCTCCGACCATTTGGAGTTTCCATTGTTATCATATTCAAATTGGATGGAGTCAATTAATGAGCCAGCATATATTATTAACTGCTTCACTCCACTGTACTTGTCATCATCCCATTCAACTCCGCCTTGGCCACCGAATGGCCCAACAGTTGTGAAGCGAGGGATCAGAGATGAAATCGGGTGCAAGATGGAATATGCACCAATTGCATCAAGATGATAACCAGACCTTCCATAGAGTCCAACAATTTTGCCAATAATGTTGCCGGTTGAGGGTGTTGAAAACATGAAATGTTTCCCACTTTCAGTGCCAAATGGTCCATACGTTGTTCGATTGCTGTGAAATGTGATTGATTGAATACCAACAAATGCAGATTCCAAACTGTAGTAGCCCGAGATTGCAACAAGAAATTCATTCGGGTACTCAAATTTAACCTACAAAAGTCCCATTCATTGGAAAAAATTACCAATGTGAATGCATGTATATGATCAAATGGAAGATAATGAATGAACAAACCGTGTGTTTGGTTCCTCCAGTACTTTGTCCATGCTTGTTAGACAATATGGACTGTCCATTCTTGTCATACTCAATTTGTATGGAATCAACCACTACTCCGGCATATATAATAATCTGTCTCACTGTTGTGTAAATGCCATCGTCCCATTGAGTTCCACCGTAGCCTCCAACAGGTCCAAGAATCATGGGTTGGTGTGTATCTGGGAATGGCTCAAAGTATGCTCCGATCGAATCGAGATAGAGACCAGACCTTCCATGAAATCCAACTATCTTTCCTTTGGTTGATGGTGGGGTTGCAAATTGCTTTCCCTTCTCCACACCATATGGCCCATACTTTTTTTTGTTGCTTTGAATTGTAAGTGACCGAATCACTGCCTCATTAGAATCCTCAGTAAGGTATCCTGAGATTGAGATGAGGTACTCATTTGGGTAATCAAGTTGGACCTGCATATTTAAGTTTAAGTACTAATTAAATCAAATTAATCAAATCAACCTTTGATATTCATTTGATTCAAATTTGTATTTTATTTTGAAAATAATAAAGACTCCAAAAGTACAACAAATTGGACAATTTTTTTTATTTTTTTAATACGTGAGTGGGTATGATGTTATTAGGACATCAGCTATCATGATGATGTCATTATAATTTCATCTCTTATTGTCATAAATAAAGTTGAATGCGTCAAACTTGTAGACGCTGTATGTATCACAAAATCCTTTCATTGTTGTATAGAAGTAATTTGAATACCAAAGAAAAAACTTCAGAACGGAATAGAGAGAGATACTGCAATGAATCAAACAAGGGTTGTAGTAATTGTCTGACCTTTCTTTTTGTGCCACTTTCACTTTTACCATGCTTCACAGACCATTTTGACTTCCCGTTATCATCATATTCAATTTGAACTGAGTCAATTACTGAACCATAACTTATTATCAATTGCCTCACTGTACTATACTTCCCATCATCCCATTGATCTCCACCCTGGCCACCAAATGGCCCAACAGATATGGATTGACTTGGATCCGAAATTGGCTCCAAATATGCTCCAAAACAATCAAGATAGATACCAGACCTTCCATGGAATCCTACAATCTTGGCACTTGTTAATGGAAACTTGAAATATTTTCCCTTCTCTGTGCCAAATGGTCCATACGTTTTTTTGTTGGTTTCAATTGCGAGAGATTGAACACATTCAAGTGCAGAATCCGAACTACAATAGCCCCAGATTGAAAGGAGGTATTCACTTGGATTGTCAAATTTGACCTATGAAAGAACATGTCATGTTAAAATAGCAAAGAAGCATGCAGATTTTGTGGGACAGGAAAATGCTGGAACAAATGTCAACAACTAAAATTCATAACATTTTTAATTTTTTTATTTCTATTTCAAAATTAAGCACTTGTACAATTACTATTAATGAAAAAGCTTAGAGATTTCGTTAAATCTATTTATTTTCGAATATAGGTGAGCAAAAAATGAAGTGATAGATATAGTTGTGATGGATATATTAACCATGCATGTTTCTTGAAAGCTTTTTTAATATGCAATGGAAAAATAATTTGAAACTTAAATTATGATGGATTACACTTGTTTCTTGAAAGCTTTTTCAATATGCAATAAAAGAATAATTTAAAACTGAATTTTAAGTTTAGTTTCAGAATCCATCCACATTATATATACGAATTTATTTTTTGAAAATTTTCTATCCCAATTAAGAATTAATTATCTTAAGCTTACTGTTACAACTGAAAAAACTATATCCAATTAGAGAAAGGGGATTAACTGATTAACTTATTTTTATAATAATTACTGGAAAAAAAACAGATTCACCTGTATAACAGTTATTTTTGTGCCACTTCACCAAAATATGGGTGGCAAAAAATAAAATGTTTTATTTTGTAAAATTAATGGTATGCATATTTTATACTCAAATTGCAAAAATTCCAAGGGACTAACCGTGTTTTTCACTCCACCTTCCCCACCATGCTTTTGGGACAATTTTGACTGTCCATTCAGATCATACTCAATTTGAATGGAGTCAATAACTTGTCCGGAGTATATTATGAATTGCTTAATGCCGGTGTAAATCCCGTCATCCCATGACTTTCCTCCTTTGCCTCCGAAGGGACCAACAGTTACATTCTTCTTCTCCATGGATCCTGATCAAGCTCTGGCCGGATGTTATAATTCAAGTTTGTCTGTCACAAAAGTTTCCCTGATCAGAATGATATATATATATATATATATATATATATATATATATATATGCCATTTGAAAATATGCATGCCATTCAAAAATAAGTATAGTCTAGCTTTGATCAAGATTCTTAAATGAAGAAATTATTGGGTATCCGGCAAATGACCATGTTAGTTGAGAATGAAATAATTAAAGAGGGTGCAAAAATAAAAGGAAAACGAAAAAAGAAAAATAAAACAAATGGGTGCAAGGGTAGAATTGTGAAAGAGAGAAATTATATGCAGTCTCATGCACGTGTGTATTTGATAAGGTATCTTATATGTGCATGAGCACGTACGTGGAAGAGTTCATCAACCTGCAATAGCTCTTTTTAATTTGTATTTTTCACATACACAATTTTTATTTCATATGCTTAATTATCCATTATTTATTTATTTATTTCAAATACTTCTACGATAAAAGTTCCCATTCATGTAACATGATTATTGATTAACATCTTACTTTTTAACCCCTCTTATATGTGGCATGTAACAAAAAAAAAAAAAAAAAAAAAAAAAGAAAAAGAAAAAGAAAAAGAAGGATGTTAGCATGTGCACTTATTCACTATGCCTACTAGTGGTTTATTTTGAGTGTGCGGTCGAATATTATGCAATTGACCTCTCCCATTTTGTAAGGTATTAAATTAAGAGTGCAATACATTATATTACATTATAATAGAATACACTATATTGGCGTGACATTTTAATACAACACATTTATATATGAAAATGGAACGCTCATGCAATATAATGCATCGTATTATATTGCTCTAATATTATTAGATTAAAACTTTAACACATTTTAGGTAAATAATGTATTGTCAATATAAATAAACTTGTTGCATTAATTGTTTATCTAGAGTTGTTGCATCGTGGAAACCACTTCAACTGCTACTTACTACCTTTAGACCTAAACTAATTTTCTAGCTAGCACAAAATAAGTTTACTGATCTAATAGCAAAATGACATTTAAAAGACGCACCCAAAAAAAAAACACAAAAAAAATATGATGATCAGGAAGAAGTGCCTGAAGAAGTAAAACCTTATATTTGGAATGAACCAGAATGCCGGCCTTCCTCTCAATGACAGAAGAATGAAGTCTTTGTGTTCAACCAAGGACGAGATAGCATGGCTATATATAGCCAGTTGGAGGATGGTAATTTTAATTGAACTGAATTGTATTTTCATTTTTCATTGATTTTTTGGTCGGTGGATGGGTCCAACAAATTAGTGAATCCATTTCCTTCCCTCTTATCCTTTTGGTGGAAGTATGGTCCTCGATCTTTATCCTATGATTTTGGTGACCCATGCTTTCTTGGGTCGTCCATTTTTTGGTATAAACAGAGTGTTTTGTTCCTTACTATTATACTTATTATATTTTTATTATTTTTTTTATATAAAATATCTATTTATTATGAACAAAATATCGTTTTCTAGTTTTCTAAAAATATTATCAGATTTAAAGTAAAATAATGAACATAACATCAGTAATAAATGTGTCAAATTTTATGACACCGAACGTTAGGTTTATTTTTCACGTTTAGAAAATGTTTGTTTCCATTTTGGGCGGCATTGAATTAGCTCGTTGTACAGTAGAGCAACTACTCGATGACATTTTTAATGTGGCAAAAAAGTATCCACGTAAAAGTTGACATAAAGCCAATTTTTATGAATGGTCCCTGATTTGTTTCCATCAATTATCAAAAGAAGCAGAAGCATTTTTTGAAACCCTCAAAAAGGATTGGAGACCATCCCAATCCATGTCTCTGAGCAAATTACAAACCTAGCTCATGATAGCAAAAATCCAAATTTCTTTATGGATAAAAGCAACAACACGTGAAAATCATTTTATTTTCCTTAACAAAATAAGAAAAGACAGTGAAGTTTCTGGATTCAAAATAAGAAAATACAGTAGAGCAACTACTCGGTGACATTTTTAATGTGGCAAAAAAGTATCCCTGTAAAAGTTGACATAAAGCCAATTTTTATGGATGGCCCCTGATTTGTTTCCATCAATTATCAAAGGAAGCGGAAGCATTTTTTGAAACCCTCAAAAAGGAGAAGAGACCATCCCAATCCATGTCTCTGAACAGATTACAAACCTAGCGCATGATAGCAAAAATCCAAATTTCTTTATGGATAAAAGCAACAACACGTGAAAATCATTTTATTCCCTTAACAAAATAAGAAAAGACAGTCAAGTTTCTAGATTCAAATTAAATAATATTAATTTTATTGCAGAAACTCAATATTCGTCATCAACGAATACTTTTTTTTTGTTTCAAAATAAATATATTAATTTAGTAAAATGATTAATACTAATATTTTTTTTTATTGTATTAATAGTAAATGAATTACTAAATCTATTTATATTGGTCCACATGAATGCGATGATTTACTTTTTATAATTTCAATGTAAGAAGGTTAAAATTTTATATCAGTTTTGGCATTACACAATGAAAGGGCTACCGTGAGAGACTTCGTCGTCTTCTTATTCTTGATATTGAATACGACTGATTTTGACAACGTCAATCTAACGATGCTAAGAGCCTTCCTATTAAGTAGTTTCCATTTTGCATCATTTATCTCTTATGGCTTCTCTCCCAAAGGTTGATAAAGATTCTTCTAAAACAAGAGTTCTTCAATTTGCATCTTTCAGAAATCGAAATTTGTGCCATTGAACTTCTAGATCATATATGGATATGGATGTCTTATCTTCTGATGCCATTACTCCCACTCGAACGGACATGTCTGATTGAAAAACTTCCGAAATTTTCTTAAACACCTTATGTGCCCTAGGTTTTCAACGAAGAGCTCTGATACCAGTTGTTGGATTTGCTGCACAAACAACCGGATCCTCTGATACTAGTTGTGGTGGAAATGTAAAAATAACAGCGTTGTTCGAGGAATAAACACGAAGAATAATAATAATCACACACAAGAACATAATATATGTATGGTTCACTCAAAGATTAGGGTTTCGTCCATGGAGCACACCGAACAAATTCCACTATGAAAAAGATGAAGAATTACAATGAAAATTTTTCTCTCAATCTCTCTCAATTGCTCCTCTTGTGTTGGCACAAATTAATAAATCATACAACACATATGATAATCCTCTCATACACTAAAATCTTATTAGAGTTGATATATATATAGTCTCGGACAATGGAACACAACTTGTCTTATAAGAGCTTGCCTTTTGTAGACTTCAAAACCAATAAAAAAAGTTAAATCACGTAGCTTCTTAGGAGAGTTGAATTGGTTGAGCTCCACTTGAATCGGTTCAGCTTTATTGTCTTACGTGGTGTAATTCGCTAGCCAACGTGAACTGGTTCAAGGGAAATTGAACCGGTTCAACGTTGGCAGTAACCAAAGTCGACACTACACTTGAACCGGTTGACCCTGAACTGGTTCAATTTTGGTAGAAGCCAAAGTTAAATTTACACCTCCAATTGAACTGGCTTAAAACCCTTGAATCGGTTCGAACATGCCAATATTCAACGTAGAAACCAAATCGACAAATTTAAACCTCCCAAATCTTTCAAGTAATCAATACGTGATTAGACTCCACAAAACAAACACCAAAGAGTGGAAAATAGTGTAATTGTGTAATGATGACATACAGTTTAAAGAATTGTGTAGTCAGGGCAGATATTATCAAGCCACCGAATAGAAGAATTGTGGAGACAAGTGAATCATAACAAAAGTCAAATTTTTGCAACTCATACTCCCTCCATCCCAAAATAGTTGTCCATCCCAAAATACATGTTCTATTCCAAAATTGAATGTATTATTTTTTATAACATTCCCAAATTATCCTTTTAACTAAACAACTGCATTAATTACGAATCACTATTTTGTCTTTTATTAAGGGTATATTTGAAACTTTACTCTTATCAATACAATAAAAAAACTATTAAACTCTATTACCATAAAAAGTTGGATTCCTCATAAAGGACATGTATTGTGGGACAGAGAGAGTAGTAAGGTTTTACCAGATGACGGTCGAGGGGTGTGCAACTTATGGGAAGGTTGCCGGATGATTGTCGACGGGTGTATGTAAAGTTTCTCTCTCTATATATATGAAGAATGAGAGGGATGGCAAAATAAAATTAATCAAATCAGTTCTATAACTTGTTTTGAGCTTTTATTCCGTTGTTGTGAAAATTTTAACTATGGTTTAGCTTCCATCATCAATATATTCTTTTGATCTAATTATATAATAGATGGAATACATTATTAGGGGAAATATATAGTGAAAACTTTAATATTATTTTTTTAAAATAGGGGAGAGAATTTTTTTTAAAAAGGATTAAATGTACACATAACACCCTTATACTATGATATAATTAACATACACACATTATCGGAAGAATAAAAGGGCCAAATGAGCATTACAACATTATTTTTATGTTAAATTTTTGTTTGAGGGGTATTTTCAAACAATGTTAAAATAATAAGGAAATTATTAGGACACTATTTTTAAATAGAGAGTAAAAATGTTTAACCATTACAGACACTCCACATTTATCAACAATCTCTTAAATAGTTAATAGGTCTGATACTATGTTGTTTTTTTTTTTTTTTTTTTTTTTTTTTTTTTTTTTTTTTTTTTTTATCAAAATCAGATTCATTAGTAAGCTTTGAAACACAATGTGATAGTAAAGTTTCAATTAATTAATAGTTGAAAACGATTTAAATGTGTTAACTAGTTCGATCAGCCTTTGTTGTCAAAGGAGATTCGTAAAATGATGAGTTTGTTAGCCTTTAATTTTAATCCATAAAAAATATCAATTCATCCTCTAACAAACACGAATACTTACCTTTTTATTTTTTATTAACGAAAAAAAAAAAAAAAAACATTATATTCTCACTAACATCTCCTCTCATGACTGAGTATATTAAGATATTCCAAACATCCAAATTAATTTCATAATGATGATGATGATGAAATGGTTTCGATCAGTGAGCTCGAGTTCTCATTGTAGATGCATGGACGGGCGGCATTGGATAAGCTATTTGGGGTCATTGTAGAGCAAGCTTCTCGAGGACGTTCACACAGTCACACTCCACATTTGGACCACCATTCCAACAAGTCTATTCCTTGTCTGTCAAAAAAACACGCATCCATGTGAAAGCTAAGCTGTCCATAATTAAAGCCTTCTATGGATGGTCCCTGATTTGTTTCCATCAATTATCAACTATGATTAATGTGGCAGAAGCATTTTTTGTTTTATTTTCTCTTGGAATGTAAGAGATTGCACAATAACGTAACCACCGCCACCGCCACCTTGCTTGTTATAGTATATAGCAATAGTACCCTAATACTGTTAAAATATATAAAAATTGAAGAGAAAAATTAAAAAAGAAATAACAATATACGTGGTTCAGTTCAACTTATCTTTTATTAAGATGAGTAAAATTGACAAATATTAAAACGAGATACTCCGAAAGATAGACTAGTTTAACTTGTAAAATTATAGTAAGAAGCTACTCTATTTTATACATATTGATGTGATGAAGAAGTTTGAAAGTTTGGTAACAATTCCAATGAGAACATTATCATGTGAAACGTGATTATACTTTAATCTTATTCTGTCAATCTATAAAATGAGCATATGAGTTGTGATGAACTGAGCTCACAATAAATATTTGTGACGGACTATTTTGAAAATAAAATTTTATTATGTAATCAATCTCTATTTATTTCAAAGGTGAAGCATTGAACTGGAACGTTTTGAGGAAGTAAATAAAAATAATAATCAATGTAGATTTTAGCTGTAAGGTAAGAATTACAAGGCTAGTTTTCATGCTTGGAGAGGAATTATATTGAAGAGGATCCAAATTCCATTTTCATTGGTTCATTGCTAGTCATGTTTGCTTGATTTAAGTGGGATACAAATAAATATTACAAAAATAATATATACATATATATATATTGCTCATGCTTTCAAAGTTGTTATAGTAACCTTTTGACCATGGTAGCTAGTTTCCTCTGGTATTTGTAAGTTCTTTGGAGTGCTTACAACTTTATCAAAACGGCATGAATTATTCAAAAAAATAATTTTTAATAAATAATATATATATTTTTTTTGGAGGTATGACAATATACTACGGCTACA